TAAGGAGATCACACAGAGCAGAGCATTAACACAGTTTTAAATAGATTTAAATAGAGTGACAGAAATGTTCTACACATGAAAAATATTTGAGACAATGCAAATAACCATGATTGCTCAAGCTTCCTTTAAGGTTAAGAGTTCATTATTAAAAAAAATGTTGCAGTACTTTGATCCAAAGTACTGTAGCTAACAGAAGTGCTGAAATCATATGAAAAAGAGCAATATCATAAAATTTTTGTTCAAAAATCATAAAACAAGTCCACTCAAAATTTTGCCTGAGGCTGGACACTACATGCTGTGCCAGGTTTGTTGAGCAAATTTTGTATCAGTGATTATAAACACTTTAATTTAGGTATATTATTGTTCTGCTAAGAAGAATCTATTTAACAACTTCATATACTACATGAGTTTAAAGACATACTAATACAGTTTCAGACCCATTACTTTTTACTCAAATCATATTAGATTGTTCCACAATGTGTGTCCCAACATGGGGCAATGCAGTTAGAAAAGACTAAAGTCTGTCAAGAGGAAGCTGTTTTCAAAAGTCAAATATAGTTTCAGACTATAACAGGCAAAATAGTTTCCGAATGAGCAGAGAAATGTTGATACCACTCTACAGATCACTAGTAAGAATGCATCCAGAGCAAATGTTCATGGCTGCTAAATTCAAAGAGCAGGTAAAGACAAGCACAAATAAAATTATCAAGAGAAGAGAGAACCTGTTTTATGGACTAGAATAATGTGATGTTCAACCAAGTAAAGCTAAGACTGAGAGCAGAGAGGATTGTTCACCATGAATGTCTCACAAGATAAACATCAGAGGTGAAGAAAACTGCTTAAGCTGAAGGATGATTTAAGCACTGAATAAATGGGGATAAACTGATTAGGAGTGAATTCAGCCCATAAGGAGACTGGAGTGAAGCTTTCTCTTGTTAAATAACCATATTATATCAACTTAAAATATTTGTTGGTGAGAACCCACAAGGAAGTCACCACTCAAAGGAGGAGCCAAAGTGAAATGACCACTCAGAGACCTTTCCATTTTCCATCCTTATACTTTAGAGGATAAGGACAGCATTAATCTTCACAGAATTTTAAAGAATTTTCCCTGTAAATATGCTTTTATTTTTTATAAAAATGTGTACCAGATTGCTTGCAGCCTCATAGAACAGTAAAGGATTTATTCAGGATTCACAAAGAATATGAATGTATATATATAACCTGGAAAACGAAATGATTGAATTTTTATGTGTCATGTATTTTGATAGTAAATTATAGATTACACTAAACTTTTTGGGGACTTAAATGTCCATCTCATTATAAATAAATTTAATTCAACCATGCTATCCATCTGGAATTCTCATCAAAGGTAATAAAATATATAATAATAAAAAGAGGGTGATGAACATCCTTGTAACATTTCAGCTTTGCATGTAAATAGCACCCAAACATTGAATGGTGAGGAATGGTAACAAATGGAAAAGAATTTGCTCTTATTAGCAGCTTCATAAATTTGATGCTGACTTCTCTAAAGTTGATTGTGTAGTTGAATTCTCTGAAGTTAATTTATAGCAGTATATTCAGGAACAAAATGTGTTTTAGAGTCACTTATGTAAGTTCAATGCATTTTAGATCAGTGAAAAAATTACGTAAAGTTCACTGAATTAAATGCCATTAAGTAATCAGGACTGTACTAATATAGATTTACTCAGATCTAGATGGGAGTTCAACTCAATGCATTTTTTTACTACTGATCTTTAAAAGATCTAGTTTTCATAAAATTTTACTGTCACTGGTGGTCAAACGCCTTTTTTTTTTTTGCATATGCAGTTGCTTGGGTTGTTTTTGTTGTTGTTGTTTGGGGGTTTTGTGTTGCTTTTGTTAAGTTTTTTCTCTTTTTTTCTTTCTGGAATGAGCATTATGAGATTAAACTTCTGAAATAGGAGAAATCAAATAGCTATGGTTGGAGAGATTCTCACCTTCATCTCACTTTTTTGCCATAGGTAATTAAAGTACATTCCAGGTTTCTTTCTCCTTTCATTTTTACTACTCTATTAAGATCACTTTTGAAAAATTCTTTATTTTGATTGAAGTGGGGCAGAATATATGTTGAAATGACCAGTTAGCTAAAAATGAGAAAAATATCAGTTAGCCAAAGGTTTAGGTATGATTTGCTTTGAAACAGTAAGAGAGTCTTGTATGGATTGAATTATTTCCCAATAGAAAGTTGTGGGATTATGGTAATTTAGAAATATCAAATAATTTCCTTCAGATTTAGTGAATATTAAAATTATTTTAGATTTACAAACAGATATATTTCTTAAAAGTTGAGTAATTTCCAATAGTTTCTTGTTGATTGTCAAGGACTTTATGCCTGCCAAATAAAAAGTAGGCTCTGAACCTGTGTTTTCAAGCTCAGTGATAAACAACAAAAACAAATCCATCTTTATAGTTCATTGATTTTATACTAGTTCTGCCCTTCTGAAGGATATTTTTTTCCATGCACATAAAGTGGGGGTAGAATAAAAAAGAATTATTATTTTCACGGAACTACAGACACTGTTCCTTGCAAGTATTAATTTTTGCCTTGAGGGAAAGGTATCTGTTTTGAAGGGGCATCATGGACAAGGCAGAATTAAGGAAATACATTTCTGTATTTCAACTATAACTGCTAGAGTATACTCATAATTTCCATTTGTATTAATCTTTGCAGTTCCCAGCACTTTTTCAGGCCAAGCACTAAACTCATTGAATTTCTTGACAGGCGAGATGAACTGCTGAATGAGAGGAAATAAAGTTCTTGAAGCACATGAAGGAAATAATAGCAATGGTGCAGCAGCAGTACACTTTAAAGTATCTGCTGTTTCAGAGTAAGAAACTACCTACTGACTGTGTTCTGCTAATCTTTATTTTTTTTGCTTATAAGTAGTGTCTTGGAGGCAAAAAAAAAAATATACATATATATACATAAAAATCTTTAACTTTGCCACTATGCAGAACAGCTTTTTTATCGGATTATTTTCCTAGAGCAACAATCTTTTGATGATTGCACAGTAGATGGTTTCAAACATGATTTTCTGCTCATTGCTATCTAGATTTTTTCTCAGAAATATAACAATAAAGAATATCGAGTCATTAGTGAACTATTTGATGTCTTTAACACCTTAGTATCAGAAAAGAGTTTAAATCTGTTCTTAAAAACTCACAGAATGTGCAAGGAAGATGAGAAAATATCAAAAGTTTTGTTTCAATTTTGCACCTGTGCTTCCGTATCTAGTAATCATATTTTTTTCATTTTACATAAGTTGTGGTTTATGAATTTATTTTATTATTACTTGATGTTAAACAATGTTTTTAATGTAATGAATTTGATAGAAATCTTTGTGCTTTGCTGAGGAGCACTGATGTGGCAGTCATTATTCAGGGCAGACAGTTTTCTACAGTAAATAGTGTTCTTCAGTTTCTGCCTTCAGAAGTCAGAGCAGAGCTAAATAGACATTTCAGAACTCTGAAATCCAAGTGTTTTTGAACGAGATGGGCATCCAGAGATCATCCTATCAATGATCGTTACTCATTATACACAGTTAAGCTGGAAGTTTAATAACAAGGTGTACTGCCCATCAGAAGGTAGTGTAGGTTCTTATTTGTGAGCAGTGCTGTACTGATGCATCTTCAGTCACAAGCCTGAAGAGAATACAAGTAGATTGCACCCAATTGGAAAGAAATTAATTAAGAAGAGTCAAGCCTGAATCCATTTATTTGTCTTTAGCATTCTGGCCAATTTTTTGTCTGCTTTTTCCCTTTCAATACTATTTTAAGTATATATTATTTTGAATACATCTAATTACAATTTCTATGTTTGAAGCAAGCATATGTATCTCACAAAGTATAGGAAAAATAGAACTACAGAAAATTTTAAAAAACATATTTTATGCAACAATTCTAGTCATTCTATTCCTATTTTGCTTGTATAAATTCTCCCAAATTCTCTTCAACTACTATATAAACTGAATGCAAAAAACCAAAATTAAATAAAAAGAAACCAAGGATTTTTATCTTTCTTTGAACCAGATCCAAGTTCTATTTTTGGGAGTGTATTCATATGTAATTTCAAAAAAATACACTAACATCCAATAACTAATGTTTTAGACAAAGATGTAAGAGTTTCATATCCATTTTTGTCTTTGTCTCTTGCATTTTAGATGTATCCTGAATAAGAGGTTATTCTGAATTTAAATTTCTTTCTAAATTTTGAAACTTGATTCCTACAGCTCAGAATATCATTGATTTAAAAAAAAAAAACGTTCAGCCCATTTTATACTCTTGACAGAATATAACCTTTCCATTGTCATAAGCAAGACAGTTTAATGCTGTGGTATTGAAACAACAAAAAAAGATGGTTTTTTTATAGTGTTTTTCAACTTTGATTACCCATTTTCTGCAGAGATAAGATCATGTGACCATTCTCCAAACTGTGCTATAGTTAAGTGGTAGAAAAAGCAGCTTTCCAGTTTGCTTAGGTAAATATTTATACTGCACAAAATTAGTCTGTTTAATTCTATAATAAAGTAAAGCATGTATGATCTTAGACCACTTAAGCATTCTTTCATTGTGCAAGTTTTGCCAATGCATACTGATTTCAGTAAGTGTCAAAGGGATCCTTCAGATTACTGCATTTAGTAGAAATGCATTGCAGAAATGAGTTGCCTGTTAGTTCCTGTATTTCGAAGAATTATTCTCACTGTATAGAATTTCTGGACTTTTTTAACACATCCTAATTGTTAAACAGCTTCTTTTTTTTATTTTTTAATTCATCATTTTTGGTGTGAAGAAAATGTATTGATGATGTTAACAATTATAGTACAAAATGAAAACATAAACTATGCAAAAAAAAAGCAAGCAAAATAATCTTATTTTTTATATATTGTGATCAATTTTGTGACATGAGGCTATGGATTTGGACCACCAGAGAGAAATAGTCTCTGCCTTTGTCTTCCCCAGGAAGTGTTGTGAGATCCTCTTTCCTGGGAATGGCTAAAAACCTGCCTGCCCGTGGGAAGTGGTGAGTGAATTCCTTCTTTGGCTCTGCTTGCCTTTACCTATTAAACTGTTTTTATTTAAATCCATGAGTTTTCTCACTTTTGCTCTTGCAATTCTTTCCTTCATTGCACTGGAGGGGAGGGTGGGAATGGGCAAGGGCCTGGATGGAGCTCAGCTGCCAGCTGGGGCTAAGCCACGGCAGCATGACCCTGGTGAATCTGTGTTTCTGTACTGCTCCTTCCCCCTGGACTACTGGCTTGTCGGTCTGAACAGCAGACAAATTCCAGCCATTTCTCAAATAGCTATCAAGCTATTTCATAAGAAATATTGATTACAATAAAAAGTTCAGAGCTTCTCAGTCTCTTGAGGGTTCCTTGTTCCTCAGATGTAGGCCCACACATTCATCATCTCTCATTTGCTGAGTCTCAGTTGGACATTGAAATTGTGATTACCCCATTCATCTTTGTAATATCTTCAGGAAGAGGGACAGTGATGATGGTGTGTCTCCCTGCCTTCCACTGCCCTGCTTTAGCCCCAGCCACCAGTAGGGATGGTGACTGCTGCACCCAGCTTACTCTGGACTTTGGGGGATGTATAGCAGCATGATAGCCAGGGGCTGTCTGGATCAGTGACCAATATGTCTTGCTGGTATGCAAATACAACTGAATCATCTGACTTTGCAAACAGCGGACAGCCCAGGGCCCGCTGAGCTCTCCTGCACAGCAGCAGGCTGTACGTCACGATCTCCCTTGGGTGAGGCACCTGCCAAGGTCATTCCTTGAGGCTGAGACTCCTTGCTGCAGCTCGTCATCAGTAAGTGATTGGTGGCACGCTTAACTCTGACATCACCTCTAGTGTCTGGGGACCTCAGCGAGGGCAAGTTAAAAGGCTGGGGGAGTGCTTCTAGACAACAAATGACCACAGGCCTTCAGGATCAAGGTAGTGGTGGAAAAGGCACCTGCTTGTGTATTGCACTGTATATAAAACCAGGAACTATGCTCCTGTAATTGTCTTTGACTTAAAAAGCACGGTACATGGCTAAGGTGGAATAAATGCTGTTACAAATAAATGAATGCTAATGATAAATAATAAAACTACTAAATGTCACAAAATTATGTAAAGCCTGGCACAAAGTTTGCTGCAAGCACTAGTGACTTATTAGAACTGCAGTTCAGCAGCTGCTGATTATGTCATTTATGAACTAGAACAGACTAAGAACAGTAAATTAGAGAATTTACAGTAGGCTGGCGATAGATCAGAGTGTTTTAAGGTCTTCCTCCAGGGATGCTTTGTTCACCACAATTTATCAGGTGTTGAAATTCACAGAAATGGCCTTTGAAAGAACAGACTTGACTAGCTGTTGATTTTAAGCCATACTGTTGAATGTTTTATAAAAGTTCTCTGCTAAGACTTTTTGTCAGTGATGCATATAAGTAAAGCTTTGATATAATGTATATGCTATTAATTCTGGTTCATTGTAATAAGTTTTATCTCTGGGCTTGAATGCCTCAAGCAGATAACCACTCTTACTTTAGATTTTGGGGCTAGACTGACATTTACATGAAAACCAGGTTTGTGTTTACATTTTGTGTTATGCAGCCTCATAACTTTCACGTCATCAGTGCAAACCAGAAGTAAATGTAAGTTTCTGAAAAACACTCTATGAAAATGGTGGTATTTGTATCATGCAAAGGCCTCAGGAGATTTAATACCACCTTTGATGAGTGCAAAGCAATGGGACAAATTTAAAATATCAGTGCCTTGTTCTAATTTGCAATTTAAAAACCATTGCCTGGGGTAAATTAAACTTTTAATGGCCCTGTAAATGAAGCTGTGGAAATTTTCATGACTTAGGTTCTTCTTGGGCCTCTTCCAGCTGAGTCTAATAAATTCCAAAATCAACTTTCTATGTGATATCCCCAAGTCTGTTTTCTTTCTACACCCTCTAGCAGTTTTCATTTTCTACTGCTACCCCTGAGTCCTTGAATTGTTCCAACAGTGTAACAATTCTCTTATGGGTTGGTACCAATATACCATGACTACTACAGCTGCTTGCTTTGACAAAGGCTGCTGTTTATTTCTGTTTTTTGATCAGAAGTCACTCATCTTTTCCAGTTTGTGTAGGTGGCCATCGAATCTTAGTATGTGTTGTATAGGTGGCCTTTGAGCCATAGTAAAATCTATGTATTGTATAGGTGGCCTGGCCCTGGTCCTGGTTGTTCTAAATGGGCTGCAGTTGTGATGTCCTTAATTGGGTGGCAGCTGTGGCTAATGAAGATAACTGGGGTAAAAGGGGTGGGTTGGCTGGTCAGGGAGAGCCTTGGAGGAGTCCAGGTGAAGGAACAGCAACAGCACTGCTGTGAAGAGCTGCTTGTGAGAAAACCACCCTGAAGGTATGGGACACTAAAAATATAATAACAACACGTTTGTATGAGCAATTTTGGTGATAAAAATCTAAAAAATGAGGAAAGTGCCATTTAAGTATCTTTGTTAAGGTACTTAGTAAAAACCAAAAGTTACATGGATGAAAATGAAAATGTCTTTCACATGCAACTCAGGGCTGGAAGACCTACAATGATAAAACAATTACTTTGGTAATTAATTGCAATCTTTCAGTTGAGCACAGTAGTATATAATTTTATGAAACTACCTAGCCAGAAAAAATAATTTAAAAAAATCATTTGGGAAAAATATTTTCCAAAAACAATGGAACAATTTTGGGACAATAGATGATTTTCCTCTTGACTCTACAGTCTACAGAGAAGGTGACAGACTGATATTTTAATGTTAGCTGCTGTAAGAATTTTCCCCTTGAAAATCTTTTAAATGAGAATTACAGAGGACTCTATGCCTTTGTGACATCCAGCTAAATATTAAGTTGTCCCAGATTCTGCTCACTTTCCTTTTCTCCATTCTACTTCTTTTTTTTTTTTTTTTTTTTTTTTTTCTTCCCATCAAAGATGGTGTTACATCTCCTGAGTCATCCTTTTCTGTGTTCTGGAAGTCTGGTCACAAGCCTGGAGCAGCTTTCACCACCTTATCAGACAAAGTAGAGCAATGGGAAGGTGTCAGAGCCATTTCCAAGTGCTCACTGTCATGGAAAGGGTAAGGAAGCACTGCAGGCTGAAAGCAGGGCTGACAGGAGTGAGACTGTGTGGTGCTAAGGATGTCAATATAACTGAAAGACACAAAGCTGATGATACCCAAGTACCACAGATAGTAAAATTATTTTCTTTCTCATATAAGAAATGACATTGTACATTTTATTTCCCTGACTGCATAGCTCCCTAGAGTAATTCAGAGAATTATGAAGACTGCAGTTAACAATTTTTTCTCATGTAAAATGAGCAAAACTTCTAGTAAATTATAACTATTCAAGCAATAGAAGGCCTAAATATATATTTAATTGACATTGAAGACAACACAGTGTGCTTACATAAAAACAAATTATTATTTAATCTGTAGGCATGATTCAAATCTCTGCATTAGTCCTGCATGAGAATGTGGGACAGCAACAGCTTCACGTTTTGGGTATGGCAATATGGCACAGTTATTTCATAGCTAGGAAGGAAGGTGCAGGGGAATTTTTGATGTTCACTCATGTACTTGGCTTCAGTCTGTGTTCATATTAGTGCATATATGAAGTGACCTACTTAGCTTCAATCTTGTAGTAAGCTTTTCTTTTTCATAGTCATTAAACCCTTATTTTTTTTTTTCTTTTATAGTAAATTTTGGAACTTTGAAAGTATTTGGCATGCTGGTAATCACTAGGAAGCTTACATGGTTAATACATTGTACTTTCTTCCTCCTCTTTGACTTGCAGAGTTAGCTTTCTATTGGGATCTTCAAAATTCAGTAACTTTCAGATTTTTTTCTAGATTCAGATTAAGCCAATCCTTAGTGTCCTCTATTTTTGAAGTTTCCAGCTGCAGCTCATGATAGCTTTGGGGTTCCCATACTAATAATAATTTGATGCATTGGCATATGTATATCTCCTTTAAATCCAGGCTTACAAGTAATTTACTAAAATAATTCATAATTAATTGAGTTTCTAATTTGCCTTTTGGTGAAGCACCCCTGGATGCACAGCATTAACAGTTCTATTGAAGTGTGGCCTGATTAACTGATTAATAGATTTTGCTTTTTACAAGAGCTTCTTACATATGTGAGCATAATTCTATCACTTTCAGGGAAAAATAGAGTAATTGAGGTAGAGAAATGCTTTGGTCTTGTTATTTAATTAATTTCATGTTCTGTGAAAAAGTCAGATTGGCAACTCTGAAGAGTCAAGTTCTCTTTATTCACAGCACTATTGAGCACCGAGCTGATCCCCCCACCTGGTACCCATATCTCCCTTGTGCTTACCAGTGTGCTCCAACCCCAAGCAGAATCAACCTAGAAGGATCAGTTTATTGCAGAATGCTGTTTTGTCTTGAATTTAATAAATTAAATTCTTCTTATTTTCTAATTATTTTCTCTATCTCCCAGAGTTCTTTCCTGTGGTATTTGGCTAGGATTTGCCTCTCCACATCTCTGGAAAGTTCAAAGGTCAGCTCTTTTATTAGAATAACGATGGGTTTGGAGTGCAGGAAGGTACCATTATACCCTTGCAATTTAACATAGAAAAGACCATGGTGGCTCTACCTTCTTTGTAGGAAAGAAAAAGAAAATCTCTCCTAATAGGCACTTGCTAAGAAGGTAGACATATTTTAAGAAAATATTTGAAAGTGCATTCACTTGTATATCTGGTATATGGTTTCTTGAAATTTTCCAAAATCTATACAGAAATAATCTGAGGATTTATAGTGATACTTTGTATATTGCTAGTGATAACTATTTGTAGGAGTGACAGATGTCTCCATATTCCTACAATTTTTAACCCAAAAAGAGAATGCTATTTGTAAAGCGCCTGCAAAAAAAAAAAAAAAAAAAAAGACTAGTTTTGTCTATTTCAGATGAACAAGGAAAAGTACATCAAACTGTCATGAAAATTACAGGTACTTTAAAGAAAGAAGTACATCA